TCAGCCACGGCACTAACCCAATAAACAATAACACTAGCTAATTAGGAGAAAAACTAACATCGATAAAACCTAAGTTATCAGAGAGATACGTTCGGACTTGGAAACGTAATGTTATAGGTCCGTCGTGCAGTTTACAAACTTTGACAACGAAAATTGAATCATCGTCGTCATCATAGGTATATAATGGAACATTTGTTGTCCCTTCGACCCTAACGACATTGTCTATGCACAGTTGGAGGAAATAAATGAGTACGGAAAAAAACATATTTAAAGGAAACACTATATTATAATCCATTTCATTGTGTACGACTACACACAAACATACTAGAGCTAAAACTTTTTAAAAAACGAAGAATATTTTTTTTTGTTTGCTTTGACGATAAACCAACCCTCTCGATCGTTAACTTAAAAAGGCCTCTGTTAGAAGAATGTTACACCGTCATTTGGAGCGTTCGACCCGACGCCATTTTTTAATTCTTCTCAGTTTCCCTCCATTTCGCTAAGCCCACAACTAAGCCAAATTAAGCCGAAACAGATCACACGCAAAACACTTCCAAAGCGGAATCCATTACTAATTAATAGAACAAAGATGAGATTGACTAATCGGGAAGATTCGGGATCGCTTCGCGGACGGGACTTTCGCTTCCGGCAAACGCTTAAATAAAAATCCCATTCCTAACCGTAATTCCTTAATATATGAGTTATTTGAAACAACCGTCGTGAACAACTTTAGTAATCGCCAATATTAGACCGCATTCTATTGGCGAACGTTTAACATATAATAGTGTAACACTACCCGTCAAATTTCTACTAGAAACCGTCGCACAATTCTACGTCCACGAAGCGACCCCGCTCCATTGGAGGGAACCGGCCTAAACCGGGGGCTTCGGCCGAAGCGGCTTAAGGTCTCGGCTTAAAGTGGCTATAGGGGCGCAGTCCGAGCGGCGGCCGGCGACACGCACACACACGAGCACACAACGCGTCCGACAAACACACACGCACACGTACACGCACGCACACACACAGCGGCACCCCGATGCTATCGCGCTCTCTTCCTCGCCGGACCGCCCGTTGTCGCCGAACGCCGTACTCGCTTTCACTGGAACGAGAAAAAAAATAAACGTCACAATGTGTTAGAGGAAGACAGAAAATGTGTTTAAATGTTACAATATTACTGAGTTTCATTAGGAATGGTATCGCCACATGAAAACTGCACGTCTTTGGACGTAAAGTTAACTTCGCTCTGGGTTTATAATTATTTCCTACAAGCGGTTGACAGAACAGGGTAGACGCGATTTACGATACGATTGTATGAAATGCACCGGTTCTTTTCACAGTACTAGAATTATTTCTAAAACCTGTCAGATTTATATCAATGTAATGCGCGCGAGAAACTATTTCTAACCTTCGTACATACCTACATCAGATTTAGCTATTCTATTTAATTAGAATAAAATTCATCCCGTTTGAAATTTACCCGTAGACTTTTTAATAGACCCCCCGCTTGACCAATATACATGCGTATGACAAATATATTTTTAAGTTCTTTAAGCACTAACTCAAGACTGAGTACAGCGATAATCTAAAGTAGCAAGTGGCTATACCATTCCTCGATCACAAAGGCTACGTACGATCGTACACTAGGATAATAGGAAACAAGAAGAAAATATTACCAAGTCAATATTACAATGTACGAGCTACTGTCAGTGTTGTGGAAGTTTGTGGATGAGTGTGCCTGTTACGGTAAACAATATGGAAAAGTTGCTTTCATTAGAAGCGGCAGTAAAACTTCGTGTACAAATCTAACATAGTCTGGAGCCCACATTATTATCTACTGAGCTTTTGAAAATAGAACAGTATGTTACGAAAATTGATGGTGGCATCACGGTAAAACTTGCCGCATATCACATCGGTGTGCGGTATTTTAAAAATGGTTAGGACGCCACTTTTGACATATTACCGTAGATACAAAAGCAAATAAAGAAATTTATGACAGACTAACTTAGTCCGCGACTTCGTCCGCGTGGAATTATCTATACAGATAAATAAAATTGGTGGGTCTGTTTGTAAGATTCAAATAACCACTGTTTACTAAATGGATATGAAAGTGTACACGGTACATATACCATTCCACGCGGACGAAATCGCGGGCTCAGCTAGTATTATACATATATTAATGAAAATAAATAAAATTTCTAACTATAAGTAGCCTAAGTTACTCCTTATTACATCAGCTATCTGCCAGTGAAAGTCCCGTCAAAATCGATCAAGCCTTTTTAGAGATCAGCCGGAACAAACAGACAGACAGACAGACAAAAATTGTAAAAAATGTTAGTGGCCGTGTGCCGTGCATGTATACATCACAGACAAATGTGCCGTGTATACATCCATATCCATTTAGTAAACAGTGGTTATTTGAATCTTACAAACTGACACTCCAATTCTATTTATCTGTATGGATTTGAAAATAAAAGACTACGGTTTGACCGCGAATGCTTTGCGAAAATAAAATTTAACCTTACCGACAAATAGTGGAGAAGTATCTAAATTGTATACGTTATAAGATATACAGATCTACTGTTTGACAATATCTGTATGTACACTACAAAGCGTGACACAATTATTTCCGTAAAGGTAAAGAATTATTAAAGGTACGATACTGGATGTACAGAATATATGCGATTTGATATGATATGCGAATATCTATGAAACAACACGGTGAACTAAATTTACAAATAAAAAATATACCGCTCCGTATGTATAATAATAACTAGTTTATTTTTTACACATAAAATTACTAAAAAAATAAGAGTTTACCGTATAGAAATTTAATCTTGGGTGGGAGCCGCACAAAATAATTCCGAAACATTTGTGACAATTTAGTTTTTTTTAGTCTATGCAATAATCTATAAAACATTAACATTAAATATTTATTTATCTAATTTTTCTTCCCCCTTAAAGATATCGAGATACAAAAAAGAAAACGATTAGTGGAATTTAAAAAAAAATAAACATTATAATATTATTAACAATCGGACAATTATTGTAACCCTTATTAAATACGAATTTACAACGACACAACGCTCAAAGGCGCGCGCACAAAAAAACATCTAGACAAACATAGAGACGACGTGCGGTACGGAATTTAAAAAGAAAAAACAAACAAACGAAAAAAAAAAGTAGAACGCATCTGTGACAGTTCCACATTCGACACCAGTTGACGTTTATCTTTTTTTTTTTAACAAAAACACTAAAATTTTCTCGCGTGCCAGTCACAACACTGCGCAGCTCAACGCGATTCGTAATCCGTGGCATCCGTTAATTTCGCATCGTTCCTTTTTCGAAAATGTCCCGGGGATGTTGGCCGGTTGGACGGTGGCGGCGGCGTTGTTTTCTACGAGGCGGTGGCGAGTTTCTTTTTCATTTGGCCGACCGACTGGTGGCCCTTTAGCGGCGGCTTGTTGGCCGCCGATTCGGCGGTGGCGTGTGCCGACTTAACCTACGGGAAAGGCGGGAGATGGATGGGGGGGAGCGAAACAACGGTCATTGGTTGTACGGGAGGTTATGGTTATGTCAATTGGATGTTAGAAAGAACGCGTTATATAGAGCAGTTGCTCTAGATTGTGATTGAACAAATTTTGATCCTAAACGACATCTCAGTGTAGGGTTGCATACTGTTTTTCAGAAAAATAAAGTATCTCATTTATCTTACTGTGAAAAATAAAGTGTTTGAAATAAAAAAAGGATCTTCTTAAAAGTATTTTCACGTACTTTATTTTTATGCAAAGTATAAGTATAAAGTATATTTATCAAAAATAAAGTAAGATACGTTATTACAAAGTATGGTTGGCAACCCTATCTCAGCACTGTTAGCGTAGTGTAGTCTACATATGTTTGACGCAAGAGTGCAGTCTACAATCATCGGTGGGAGTTTCGTAAGTATATATGACTCGACGAAGCTCATGATTGTGTTGTAGAATCATTAAATGCCTATTTATCATTTGTGGTGTGGCAATGGTGGCTATGTATAGTATAAGACGTGAAATGTGCCTGTTCAAAATGGAGGAGATTGTGGATATCACTTAGAATCTGCATGAAGTATAGGGGTCTGTCGAAGTGAAGAAATATATCGATATAAGGTGCTTTCTTGGATTTAAATTTGAAAAATATTGTATTGATACAATTTTCGATATTGAATATTTTGTATCGATATATAGAACCAAATAAATCGATATATCGATACTTTTTCGACATACCTATTCCAAGCAGCGTATTACCTGAGCGTTCAGCCGGTGCTTATGTTGGCAATAAACTACGAAGCAGGTTTGGAAGTCAAACATTGGAAGTTTTGATATTCCTGCGATTGTGTTTTCGAAAGTCTAAATAGTATTTTTGTGTTGTCTTATTGATTTCTTGCTAAATATATAGCTTTTTAAGGGTCGTCGGTTAGTCGAGTAGACAGATCGTCGGGTAGTCAGGTCGGCAGTTAGTCAGGTCGTCCGTCTAGTTAGTGAGGTCGTCAGGTAGTTAGTCAGGTCGTCGGTTAGTTAATCAGGTCGTCGGGTATTCATGTCCGTCGCGAACCCACGTGGTGTGAGTGGGGGTGAGCGGTGTTAGGGGGATGTGTGAGTGGGGGTGAGCGGTGTTAGGGGGATGTGTGTGTGTGGGGGGGGGGGGTGTTGACGGCAGTGAGTAAAGTGAGCGCGGTGAGGGAAATGAGGGGGGTGCGGGCAATGAATGTTGTGAGTCGTGTGAGGGGTCGAGTGGTGAGGAAAGACTTTTAACTTGAGGAAAGAGAGCGTTATGAGACTTGTAGTGTTATGAGACTTGCGAGTGTTATGAGACTTGTGAGTGTTATGAGACTTGCGAGTGTTATGAGACTTGTGAGCGTTATGAGACTTGTGAGCGTTATGAGACTTGTAGTGTTATGAGACTTGTGAGTGTTATGAGACTTGTGAGTGTTATGAAACATGTGAGCGTTATGAGTGGGTGCCGCTTGCCTCCGTCTTGGGCGGCGGCTGCGAGGGCTGCTGCGCGCGCCGCTGGGCGCACGGCGAGCGCCGCTCCGCGTTCGCCTCGATCATGGTCTGCTTGCGCTGCCGCAGGATGGTCCAGTCGAACGTGTAGTCGTACTGGTAGTTCATCGTGCGGAACAGTATGCGGAACAGCTGCGGACACGTCAGGTTTATTTTTTTAACGTGAGAACGGTGACAAGCAAGCTGGCGGGTCACGTGATGTTAAGTGATAACCGCCGCCAATTCGGTGGCATTGGACGCTTTGCCGATCAATAAATTGAGCCCCAGTTACCACACTCACCAAACGAAACGCATTAACTCCTCCGCTTCACGCAAGTCTTATGTGGGTTCGTGGTACTTCCACGGAATGACCTGTCCATTCGTGCAACAGCGAAGAATATTGCGTGACCCTACCAGAGCTTCACGGTCCAATTGCATTTTTACAGAGTTTGAGATATCGCCCCTAAACATTGCGGAATTTTATTGACTTTATGGTCTCTTTTGAACACTTTTCTGTTCACTCATATCACCTTAATATTGTCGAATAGAATGGTTTTCACAAATTGCATAACTTTAAATTATGATACTAGTTCGTATTCGAACGCTTTACAGAGCCCACAGTACAATGTCTAATAAGACTTAAACGCAATGACTTAATACACCGCTGAAGTTCGTTCGAGTCATTGCGCATTAGGTGCGGTTTTTAGGTAAAGAAATGAAGGAGGCCTAAAGCTCATCAATATCAAGTTTAAATCAGTGCTAATCTCTGCAATTAGCACTATAAAAATGTAAGTTTCATATAGCAATGTCGAAAATGGTGGTAGGGCCACGCAGCAGCCTCGGCTGTTGCACGAATGGGAAGGTCGTCCGGGTAAGTACCACGACCTCACAGAAGACCGGCGTAAAGTGGTTGGAAGTATGACAAATACTTTCGCGTTTCGTCTGGTGAGTGAGGTAGCCGGAGCCCAATTTTCTAAAGGTTTTAGCGCATCTGGAACCCTCGGGTGTAGCAGATGTCCATGGGCGGCGGTATTCACTTAACATCAGCTGAACCGTCTGCTACTTGGCAACTTTTCACAAAAAAAAAAAAAAAAAGAATCTCTCATATTGTCGATGTAAAACGATATTCGAAATTGTTTGTAACTGGAAAGGATGTAACAATAGATGCGCCAAGGATATGACAAATATCAATATTTTTTTCGTTGTGTAGCCGTTTTTCAGCCGTTTAGTTTAGTGGTTAGAGCGTCTCGGCGAGAATCCCAAAGACGTGGGTTCGATTGCCACAGCGACGGAAATATTTATAAATAATAAATATTTCCCCCAAAAACGAATCCCATCGGAAGCATTAGTAAATTATCGCAAGTAGAAATCGAACAATTATTCGTACCTGTCTAAGATACATGTAGTCCGGTGACTCGTCGAATGTCAGTCCGCGGCAATAATTTAGATACATAGCAAACTCGGCGGGGAAACCCTGTGGACAAGATATACATGTTCATTTATTTATTATACAGTACAAATATTTAATCTAACTATAAATATAAAACTATAATATAAAACTCTAAATATCTAATCTAAATTAAGTGATCTAACGTTATATGATGTCTATAATAACTGTGGTATGCCTTCACTGTTGCACGAATGGACAGGTCCGTCCGGATAAGTACCAATACCTCACAAACGACCGGCGTGAAGTGGTAGTTTCATACTTCAGTGAGTTACGAAGTCGGGGTACGCTTTATAAAAGGTGGCAACGCATCTGCAACCCTACGGGTGTTGCAAATGTCCGCTCGTTCGCCGCCTTCTCGCATGTATATCAAAGAAAAGGGAAATAATAAAATCTATCAACAAAGTCATCAACGAATGATCCGGGGTGGAATTCAGTTGCGGAGTTGGCAAGCGAGCAGGCGATTCACCCGACGAGAAGTGAGTACCGCCCCATTGTCAGCCACAAAACTCGTGGCGTTGTAAAAACTTTAAATGATTGGGCAAAGGGAACGTCACCTAAGAAACGTAAGATTAGACTTCCATTTCTACAGGTCTCGTGTGAGGTTGTAGTTCTTGACAGAACGAGATTTTCCATCCTTACAATAGCACTACTATAGTAAATATTGCTGGATATACCTTGTTTTTAGACCAAAACTTTTACTCACAACATGAATTATTAAGCGACGTTATTACGCAGGTTAATTGTTATTATTTAAATCAATTTTCCTCGATATTATCATGATAAGTTGGGTGATTTTAAGAATTGGGCATTAAGATTAATAGATATCATTGGACTAGAAAAACTCAGCGAGTCATTTTTAATCGATCCTCAAATTGCGATAATTAATTGGCTACTTCGCGTAAACTTTACACCCAATCACTGTATCAGTTAATGAATGACGTGTTATCTAATAAATAATAATCGAAAACTTGTTGTTGTTTTTGCTAATTTTTTGGAAATGTTTTATTACCCTGAAAATATAATCGTAGGATCAAATAGAGGGAGTTCGTTTTAATAACCAGTTTTTGACCAGTTCCATATGAAATACCATCGGCCGTGTTTATAAACTGATAATATATGATCACATGCCCATGAACAGATCAATGGTGGTGAATTTAAGTCGGTTTTGTTTTTTTTTTTAATAAAAATAGACTTGTTTTAAACCTTATTAACGAAAAACAAAACCTATTTCAAATATCTCGCTCTGTATTCATTTTCAGGAGTCCCCAAGTATCTCCGTAGCCCAACATCTAATACCAATGAATTAATATGGGACATGGGAAGCACCAGCTATCAAATAAAAAAAGAACCATAAATCGGTTCACTAACTCGGAAGTTCGGAGGTAACAAACACAGTCGAATAGAAGAGAACCTCCTCCTTTTTTGGTGTCGGTCGGAAATACTGAGAGCATAGCCGTGGCAGAAGGATACGATACTCACCTTGCAAAGCACTTCGACGGGCGTGGACATCTTCTTCTCGCTGATCCTCTCGTATTTCTGCTTCTTCGTGAGCGCCTTCAGCCCCTGCCAGGGCAGAGAGCCCCTGCCGGGAGAGATCGGTAATGTTAAGACATAGAATAGTTTGTCTATGTACTGCTGACACAGAAAAGTAAAGTAACAGACTATATAAAAAGTCTAGCTATTGGGCAAACTGCAATAAGGTTCGAATTCCAGAACTTCATTTGAAAAACGAACGAAATTCCGACTATAAAAGGTGCTCGGAACGCGCTAGACGGCTCACGGCATTTCAGTGGATGAACTCGAGGAAGAAGGAACATTAAGAAGAGAGTGGAAAAGTGAAGTAATGAGAGAACAGTGGACGCGAAGTCGTACGCGGTGGGTTGGTGGTTTTTAAAGACAATATATTTTACACAACAGCAGCTTTAATAAAAAAATAATAGAGGTAAGCAAAAAGTATGGATCTCACTTTTTGAATTAGAATAAAACATTGGTCAGAAAGTGTTATTTTACTTATCTGTTACAATTAGAGGGAATGCTAACGACTTTATTTTCAATTCTTTATTTACAACAACTTTTTATTTTGACGACCCGAATGGCGTTGTGGGTAGTGTACCTGCCTCCTGCTCCAGAGGGTGTGGGTTTGATCCCCACTACTGGAAAAATATTGTGTGATGAAAATGGTGTTTTTCTAGTGTCTGGGTGTTTCTATATGTATAATGTGTATTTATTTACAAAACAAAAGTATGTTTAAGTATGTTTATCAATTTTCTAGTACGCATAGTACAAGCTTTGCTTAGTTTGGGACTAGAAAATGTTGTGTACAAATGTGTTAAAAGAAATAAAAAAAATGGCACAAAGCACCACGATCTTCAATTGTGTTGCAAAAAAGCGGTATATTTTTTTTTATTTAAGCTCCCGTTTAAAAAATATTTTCGTTTAGTAACGGTTTGCCTTTAAAGGTGCAGTGTAATCGTCAATGCATACAGCGTTCTTAAACGTTCATGAGAGTGTTTCTGCTAAAATGCAACCCGCAAATGTCTATTCGAGGTCACAAGTTCGAAGTTTACCATTCTCCATACAAAGTCAGACCATACACCGCGTTTGCAACTGGCCGAGTTCGAAGAAAACCGAAGCCAAATAATTTGTCCTTGGCTGAAGAAACACCAATTTCATTACTGCCACTCCGCTATTTTCACCTGTGTGGTGATAATAAGTATGTACGGATCTAGATTCTGGGGCGTTGACATTGAATCATCGAAACAACTCTTCGAATCGCAATGCAGTGCTAATTAGATTAGATATTTATTTGTATACTTTCTAATGGAGCCGTTTTAGTCAGTGATCGCCTCTGGTTCAGTATACTCGAAGTTTGGTGAGTGAGGTAGCCGGGGCCCACTTTATTGAAAACCTAACGCATCTGCAACCCTACAGGTGATGATGTTACTTAACATCAGGTTAACCGGAAGACGATAAGTTTGCAGTTGCAATTTTCAGTGATTTACAAAAGAGTGTGTCCTTACTTGTATGTATGGATGGATGTTTGTTACTCTTTCACGAAAATACTACTGAATAGATTTTAATGAAACTTTACAATAATATAGCTTATACATCAGAATAAGACATAGGCTATAATTTATATACATACTTTATGTATATCTGTCTTTCTGTCTGAATGGTACGTTACACCTTCAGCCTATTCTACGCAGATGTAGTCGCGGGCAATAGCTAGTATTATTATAATTATGTACGCACGTAAAATGTTATAATTCTTTGGTGTTACCATGAAAATATAGTTTTTATTTGCTTTTAAACAAATATCAACAGAACAAACTATTAATAAACCAAAGTGAATAGTACAAATCAAAACTTCAATATTAAATATTATACGTTTCAATATTTATAATGGCTATAAATTGTGTAATCAGCGCGTGTATATTTCTTCATACGCTCCGATAAATACTCTGATCCATTTGTACTGTGGTAGAGCCGCGTTCCAGTCTTCGCTGTGGCACGAATGGGCAGGTCCGTCCGGGCAAGTACCACGACATCGCTGCGGCGATACGTCTGCTTAGTGAAATACTACATACTGTATGAAAAGGTGGCGACGCGCGTCCAATCCTACTGTTGGTTCAAATGGACATTTCTGCAACATCTGTTGCAGATGGGCGGAGGTTATCATGTAACATCGGGTGAACAAGCAGCTCGCCATTCTTCTTCTTCTACCTAGCATTTATCCCAGCAATTGCCAGGGTCTGCTTTCCTACTTAAACTCCTCCACTTTGCCCGATCTTCGACATCCTCATGGGTCAGTCCATTGGTTCTCATGTCCTGCTTCACAACGTCCAGCCATCGCTTCCTTGGGCGGCCAGGAGGTCTAGCTCCCGGGACAGGCATATCAAGGCATATCCTTCCGACATATTTTTCCGACCGGCGTGCGACATGGCCATACCATCTCAGGCGCCGCTCTTGGAGCTTATCTGCTACGTCACGGACCCCGAGACTGCCTCGGATGAATGTGTTACGTATGCGGTCAGCCCGCGTGACGCCACACATCCACCTTAGCATCTTCATCTCCGTGACGTGAAGCTCTTGAGTGTGCCGAGATAGAGCTGGCCAGCACTCGCTACCATACAGAAGTACCGGTCGGATGATGCTCTTGTGCACCTGTCCCTTGAGCTTGGGCGGTCTTTCTGCATCGGTCCATTCAACAACCACCACTTGATTCTGGGCTTACGTTTCTCGGCTACTTTCTTTTTCGGAGTAAATATATAGTCCATGACAAGGAGACGATGTTGGGCCGTCAAGCTCTCACCAGGAATGACTTTACAGTTAGTTACCTTACCTAAATGGCACCGTCTGGTCAACAGATAGTCGATTTGGGTTGAGTGTGGCCCGCTCTTGTACGTGATAAGGTGCTGATCATTCTTTTGGAAGAAAGTGTTCACGACGGCTAAGTCACACGCAATACAGGTTCTAAGAATGCTATCTCCCTCTGTATTGCGGCGACCATAACCAAAACCACCGTGGACACGTTCATGCGTCTCAGCTGCCCTACCTACGTGACCATTTAGGTCCCCCCCAACGACTATCGATTATCGGATATCGGTATGGATCGTAGTACTTCTTCAAACTGCTCCCAGAAGGCCTCCTTTTCAGCGTCGCTACAGCCCGCCTGGGGTGCATAGGCACTGACGAGGTTGGTTGTAATACCCTCAATCAATACCTTTACCCTCATCAGCCAATCGCATCGACGTTCAACTTCTAGTAGACCATTCCGAAGCTCTTCAGAGAGCACTATCGCGACACCGTTTCTGCCCGAATGAGATCCGGTGTACACAAGTTGGTAACCCTGTCCGATGACACGGGACTTATTGCCCTTCCAGCGAGTTTCCTGAAGGAACGCACACTGGACTCGTCGCCTCATGAGTACATCTGCAAGTTCCCTGCATCGTCCGGTTAGAGAGCCAATATTCCATGAGGCAAAGCGGAGTTTCCTTCTGGGTACTAACGTCTTTAGCCGTGCCCGTACTTGACACGGTAGCCCTATCCCACTTATCGCAGGTTTAGGGCGATGTGCCTGCGCGTCGTTTAACGGCGACGCCCTAGCCATACCCAGACTTCTCTTTTTCTTGTCCATTAGAAATGGCGGTGTTTGGTTTTACAAGGAGCGACTGCCATCTGACCTCCAAAACCCCATTTGAGGGGGAAAACCAGGGAAGGACATGGAAATATGGGGTAAGGGGAAGAGGAGGAAAGAGGGACTTAAAAGGATATGGAAGGCGGGAAACAGGAAACAACTTTCACGGACGGTATGGGTGTGTGAAAGTGGTGGCTCGAGAACCCGGGGTCGTGTACCCGTATGTTCTGGGACAAATATCGGACAGATATTTGCCAGAACATCCTCTGAGAGGATGAATAGATATAGAAAGATGTATATAAATTATAGCCTATGTCTTATTCTGATGTATAACCTATGTTATTGTAAAGTTTCATTAAAATCCATTCAGTAGTATTTGCGCGGAAGAGTAACAAACATCCATCCATACACACAAACTTTCGCCTTTATAATATTAGTAAGGATTTTTATGAATATCAGTCTTTCTGTCTGAATTTCACGCCTTCAGCCTATTCTACACAGACGTAGTCGCGGGCAGCACCTAGTTTATTATATTTCGAAAATACGCGGAATTCCTTTACTTGGGGCTGCGTTATTGACCTTCGTCCAGCAGTGGGAAATATACACGTATGGGCTATTACTGCAGCCCGCTACGGTAAAAACAATTACGATTTTGCAACAACCGCTGTGCTCGCGAATGGCCATACAAAGGGGTAACACACAATACGGTTATGTAAATCGTATTGGGCGGCGAAAAAAAATGGTATTGCTAATTTAGAAAGTGTGTCAAAGACAACAGATAAGATATGAAGACTGCGCGGTATAATTTTCGCGAAGACGTATGCGCTTCTTTTATGTTTTTTTTCCATGTGAGAAGTTGGCCAGCGTGGTTGACGGTTGACCGATTAATAAATGTCACACAATTTCAGTTACAAATCTCTATCATACAATACTTAAATTAAAATTATCTTTACAAAAAAAAAAAATCCCACGACATTGAAATACTGTCCGGTTGAAGAAACAACATCCAACGTCATATCCTTAATACCGTTTGCGACACTCAATAACTCGACTCGAAGCGTCAAGGTTAGGGTTGCCTGTTGCCAAAATCTCTTCGACTAATATCCTTAAGTAAAAAATGTAGCACAGAACAATAGTAGGATAAAGTAAAGAATAACAAAAAATATTGATTAATAAAAATATTGTTATAAACATACACCCCATTGATCTATTCAACTGAATTACTGTATATTTGCGTACTATATATTTTTCCACATTGCATAGTACGCAGACCGAAAATACAGTACGAGACTACATATTATGTGCGGTTGGCAACCCTATACATATAATACATGGTCGAACATAGCGGCAGTGCGCGGAACGTCGGCTTGAGAAATGCGAACGCAACTCGCGTAAGGCAAAATCGACTCTAATCTTATTTGCCTAAGAGTCAAAACGGCGCGACT